GCCCCCCCCATGTGGAGGCTGGAAGCACTCTCCGGACTGGAAACTCCCTGGGGGCAGAGACTGGTTTGGGTGTCTTGCCAGTTAGGTAGATTCTATTTCCACCACCCTGAACAGAGGATGCCTCATTAATCTTACCACAAGATCATTTCCCTTTATGATTTATTATCACCAGCTTTCTGGTGCTTACAGAAGAGGCCTTGACTTTGGTCTGGTTGTGGAGAGCAGGACAGGCAGGTAAAGGGACTGAGAAGTGGTGGAAGGGGTGATCGGGGCTTCTTGGAGGCTTTGACAGCGGAACTGGACTTTGGGGGAAGAGAGAGGTGTGATAAGGGGACAGGCATTCCCTTTGTGGATGGATCTTGTCACCTTTGTTGGACTTGAGCTCTGAACTTGGAGGGCAGGACAGGTGTCACCTGTCTCCACCTGGTGCTCAGTAAAAGCCTTTCTCTCTTGTTCTCTCCTCTTGGTCAATGGGGCGGGATGCCCTGTGTCCTAGCGGGGCCATGGAAGGCCATGTCATCCAGGACTTTCTGGTCACCCCGTAGTGACCTGTCCTAGAAGAGCTTCCTGTGCCCACCAGGCCCCTCACGCTCTTCTCCTTGCCCCACAGCCAAGAAGACCTGTATGGACAGTGACTTCACCTGTGACAACGGCCACTGCATCCCAGAGCGGTGGAAGTGCGATGGCGAAGAGGAGTGTTCTGACGGCTCTGATGAGTTCGAGGCCACTTGCAGTGAGTCCTGTCCCTCAGGCTGGGGTGGGGGTGGGGGGCTCTCTGGGCCTCAGTTTCCTCATCACACATCTTCCTTGTTGGGAGGTTGAGGCTCGAGTGAGGTGACCTGTCAAACACAGCTCCGGGCTCACTCGGTGCTGCGGCCTCGGGGACTCCTGGCCAACAGCAGGTGGATCTAGTAGCTGGTGTCCAGTGACCTGTTCTGGGCTTTCTTCACAGCTCTCTTCCACACTGGGCCCTGCTCCTGTAGTACCAAGAGCTAGAAATAGCCCCTTTGAGCCTTTTGCCCAGAAGTAGCCGTAGCACATCCTCCCAGCCCCCCCCCCC